TCTACCCAGTGGACCCCAAGACGGACGGACCCCAGGGTACCCCAAGACGGACGGACCCCCAGTGGACCCCAGGTCGTTCTGCAGACGACCCCAGACGACCCAGTAAAGATGGAAGAGGAGCAACAACGACTCCAGTCTGTCCCACCAACATCGGTCTACCCAGTGGACCCCAGGACGGACAGACCCCAATGGACCCCAGGTCGCTTGTCAAAGACCCAGGGGAGGAGGAAGAGAGAAGAAGGAAGAGAGAAGAAAGAAGAGAGAAGAAAGAAGAGAGAAGAAGGAAGAGAGAAGAAAGAAGAAAGAAGAAGAAGAAGATAAGACAAGCTGAGTGAGACACGATACCTAGTGTCCCTTGCTGGTGTCAGCATCATTGCATGGAGCGTAATTGCAAGACAGGATCGTTTGCCTTAACTGGCCGCCCCTCCTACAAGCAGGTAGCTCTGTTGAGTGATTCTTCCTGTGTCGTGCGGACTTGATGTGGCTGTCAGAAGTAGCTCTCTGAAGGAGGCGTGCTGGAGCAACAGGGAGGAGAAGAGTAGGATGGGATTTCTACTGTTGGCAACTATATGAAGGTCTCGAAACTTGTAGTCCCTATAGCTGTGAAGAACCCCAATATACGTCTCTCATGGTGACTGACGTAGGGCCAATTACAGATCAGCTGGGACAACCGAATTCCACGGTCCTGTGCACAGTTCAAGTAGTAACGGCTTTCGGGTTGACCAAGTGTTGTTGTGCGTTAACGACGGAGAAGCGACGGAGGCAGTTGTGTTGAAGAAATGTGGTACAGGATTATCTACAAGACCAAGCAGTGACGTCGCCCAGCCAGAGACAATGGACGTCTGTCTACATATTTCATTTTTTAGAGTAGGATGATGTATATTTGTTTAGCTAGGATGTATTCTTTTCGTTAATAAAGTTGTCGCACACAGCTAGCTTGCTTTAGCAGTGTTGCAAAAACTTTATTTTCGGGGAGAAGGGGAGATGTAACACTGTAAAAGTGTTTGGGTTAGTTTATTTAAAATATATATAGAGTACATGAGTCACAGACAAGGATCTGAGAGGCGCCAGTTGTCTGCCTGAGATCTCACACCTCAAAGCGTTAATGACCTCAAGTGACCTGAGGTCAGATCATGAGAATTTCACCTTGCTTCCGCTAAGCTCTTAATTGTAGTCTGGTAGCCTTCAAACAAGCCGACGTTTAAGGAGTGGCTTGGTAGTGCCGGAGGCTATCTATTTGTGGGCGGAGTTAGCTACTAGGTTCCCCAATAAATACTCGGAGAACTATCGAGCAGAGAGCATTAACAGACAGAACGGGAGTCAGCAGAAGCAGAGAAGACAGCCCTACCAGGGAGGCTGTCGGCCGGCAGGGCGGGAGTCTCTGTCAACTACAGACCCCCCCCCCCCCTCTCTATTCAACTTAGACTCAGTCCTCGGTGAGTGAACATTAAGGTGACTTGGTCGTGTTTTACAAGTGTTGTGTGATGATCAGGGGCAGTCAAGTTGTAGGGTTCTCGAATTCTTGGATGATGACTCACTTTGCATATTAAACTGGAACATTTTAATTGGATTGCTTAAATTATGATACTTCATGGGAAATATAATTATGAATTTATTATTTAAATTGTGTTTAACTTTGTTCCCTAGAGCTTTGAGTTGAGGTGAGAAAGCCTCTGTGGTTATTGGTTTCATGATATTAATGAATACATGGTGTAGAATGAGTACATGATAAAGATGGGAACTACTAATAATGATCTCTTGATAACATCATTTGAGAATTTTGTGATACAGACAAGTTCCATTCCTTGTCTTGTATGTAATGATCATGAATGGATGGTGGCAGCATTTCGTCTTCTACTATCTACTCTTCTACTTCTACTATCTACTCTTCGCCTTCTACCTATCTACTCCTCTCCCTCCACCCTTCTCTAAACTCTCACTTTCAACTAATGACCCTCCTCGCTCCTCCCACCTCTCTCCCTCTCACCCCAAACCCTCACTAATTACTTCACTATTCATTTCTTTCCTTTCGCTTTCTCTTATACGTTTGTGGCAGTGATTCTGTATTCTAGAGTTCTCTCTAGAGTTTCGGGTAACTGATCCAGTTACGGCGCCTTGTAGTCTTAGCACCTAGGTAGTCAAATACCTAGGTTACAAGGTGTTGAACCAGAGAGGTTGCCTTAGGAACTCTGGGAATGCTCTAGAATAGTTAGCTAACTGGGGACGGGATAACGGACTAGAGAGAGCTGTTTCCCCCCGGCCTCGTTAGCTAACTGGGGGGTGGAATAATGGACAAGATAGAGCTATTTCCACCACCCCCCGTTACAAAACGTCAAGGGAAATAAAAACACTATGAATAGGTAAGTGTGTGCAATCTATCCACACACATCTGAAACACTTGACACTGCCCACACGTTTAGGTGAGCACACATACACACACACACACACACACACACGACCAAAGAGCCAAAGCTCAACCCCCGCAAGCACAATTAGGTGAGTACACACACACACACACACACACACACACACACACACACACACACACACACACACACACACGTGCAACAGAGACTGCCACAGTAGACGGTAAGTACTCAGGGCCGCGGGAGAGGCACAGTGCCAACCTTCATCCACACACTACTATTATTACTATAACCACTGCCACTATCTTTTCTCTGCCCCCTCCAATACCCTCACCACCTGGACGGTAGAGCGACGGTCTCGCTTCATGCAGGTCGGCGTTCAATCCCCGACCGTCTAAGTGGTTGGGCACCGTTAATTCCTTCCCACCGTCCCATCCCCAAAGCCTTATACTGACCCCTTCCCAGTGCTATATAGTCGTAATGGCTTGGGGCTTCCCTCTGAAAACTCCCTCCCTCCCTCACTATGGCAACTTGCACCACTTGCTCAAGTACATCTGGCCAAATGTAAACCTTGGCGCCAAAACTATCCCCCATGCCTTCATGTCCCCGTGGAATTATTTGCGAACAAGATTAAAAAGGAGTTCAAGAGACAACTCTGTCGCTAATGTTCAAAACGTGTCCAGGTATTTTATCCGGGATCCTAACCAGGTCTTCCATGTTTCCACGTTGTGGAGAGTACACACACACTCTCTCTCTCTAAGGTTGTGCTGGCCGTGAGTCTCTTGCTTACTTTTACACTACCACTCACAGGAATGGTATGGGGTTCACTACTACTCACAGGAATGGTATGGGGTTCACTACTACTCACAGGAATGGTATGGGGTTCACTACTACTCACAGGAATGGTATGGGGTTCACTACTACTCACAGGAATGGTATGGGGTTCACTACTACTCACAGGAATGGTATGGGGTTCACTACTACTCACAGGAATGGTATGGGGTTCACTACTACTCACAGGAATGGTATGGGATACACTACCACTCACAGGAATGGTATGGGGTTCACTACTACTTACAGGAATGGTATGGGGTTCACTACTACTCACAGGAATGGTATGGGGTTCACTACTACTCACAGGAATGGTATGGGGTTCACTACTACTCACAGGAATGGTATGGGGTTCACTACTACTCACAGGAATGGTATGGGGTTCACTACTACTCACAGGAATGGTATGGGGTTCACTACTACTCACAGGAATGGTATGGGGTTCACTACTACTCACAGGAATGGTATGGGATACACTACCACTCACAGGAATGGTATGGGGTTCACTACTACTCACAGGAATGGTATGGGGTTCACTACCACTCACAGGAATGGTATGGGGTTCACTACCACTCACAGGATCAGTATGGGATACACTACCACTCACAGGATCAGTATGGGGTTCACTACCACTCACAGGATCAGTATGGGGTTCACTACCACTCATAGGATCAGTATGGGGTTCACTACCACTCACAGGATCAGTAAGGGGTTCACTACTACTCATAGGATCAGTATGGGGTTCACTACCACTCACAGGATGAGTAAGGGGTACACTACCACTCACAGGATCAGTAAGGGGTTCACTACTACTCATAGGATCAGTATGGGGTTCACTACCACTCACAGGATGAGTAAGGGGTACACTACCCAACACAGGATGAGTAAGGGGTACACTACCCAACACAGGATGAGTAAGGGGTACACTACCCAACACAGGATGAGTAAGGGGTACACTACCCAACACAGGATGAGTAAGGGGTACACTACCCAACACAGGATGAGTAAGGGGTACACTACCCAACACAGGATGAGTAAGGGGTACACTACCCAACACAGGATGAGTAAGGGGTACACTACCCAACACAGGATGAGTAAGGGGTACACTACCCAACACAGGATGAGTAAGGGGTACACTACCCAACACAGGATGAGTAAGGGGTACACTACCCAACACAGGATGAGTAAGGGGTACACTACCCAACACAGGATGAGTAAGGGGTACACTACCCAACACAGGATGAGTAAGGGGTACACTACCCAACACAGGATGAGTAAGGGGTACACTACCCAACACAGGATGAGTAAGGGGTACACTACCCAACACAGGATGAGTAAGGGGTACACTACCCAACACAGGATGAGTAAGGGGTACACTACCCAACACAGGATGAGTAAGGGGTACACTACCCAACACAGGATGAGTAAGGGGTACACTACCCAACACAGGATGAGTAAGGGGTACACTACCCAACACAGGATGAGTAAGGGGTACACTACCCAACACAGGATGAGTAAGGGGTACACTACCCAACACAGGATGAGTAAGGGGTACACTACCCAACACAGGACATGTACAGCCTCCACTACCACACACAGGACAGCTAGGAGCTGTATAATAACTAAATACACATAAAAATATAAACGAAAATAAATGTATAAACGTAAATATATAAATGTATAAACTAAATAAATGAACTCGCAGTTATTCCTCCGGACACTTTTCCTCTCCATTCCATCCATCCATCGCTAGTGTCTCTATCAACTACAGGAGGAGAGGCAGAACACGAGGGTAATACTCACGCATCCTGTAGGATCTCGCAGGGCCCTTCTCCACCTTCCAGAGGGGGACTCTTCATGATGGTGTGGATGGGGGAGGGGAGGGAGAAGGGGTCCTGGTCACAGCATCGTCCCCCAAGGTAAAGTAGCCACCACACACTCACACACACGCGCGTGCGTGTGAGTGCTCCTCACACTCACTCACTCAACGGAGGAGCTGGCTGGCACGTTGTCGTTTTTAGTTTGTTTTGTTCCACCTGGTGCAAGCGTCGTCTCTGGATCAAATGTTAATGTTGCGACTCACAACTTTTCAGTGTTATTCTAACGTTGAGTCCACTGTATTCTTTCTATTTGGTCTAGTTTTAACTTGGTGTAAATGACAGTTATAATATTTTCAGTAGCGTGGCCTGGTGGCCCGAGCCGTTGTTTACGCTACACATCCAGCTGCTGCTGCTTCGCTTCACACATCCTTCACTTCCAAGTATGGTTCACTGTAAAACACAAAGCGTCTTACCCACCACACACTTTAAGGTCTACACCTTGAGTCCAGTACAAATTGAGCCGCCACACGCACCTGCTATACTTCACCACTTAGAAGTGTTGCCTCCTCACCATTTACAAGTGTTCAATGGTCAGGTTGGTGTGGTGGTCTTCCCACTAAAGCCTTGTGGCCGAGGTGTGACTCTTGCCACACGCTCAGGGTGTACTCACCATCACACTACTTCACCATCACACTACTTCACCATCACACTACACAGTCTTCCCAACTTTCTGTACGAGACATCAAATTAAAGGGGAACTTAATCTCTCTCTCTCTCTCTCTCTCTCTCTCTCTCTCTCTCTCTCTCTCTCTCTCTCTCTCTCTCTCTCTCTCTCTCTCTCTCTCTCTCTCTCTCTCTCTCTCTCTCTCTCTCTCTCTCTCTCTCTCTCTCTCTCTCTCTCTCTCTCTCTCTCTCTCTCTCTCTCTCTCTCACTCTCTCACTCTCACTCTCTCTCTCTCTCTCTCTCTCTCTCTCTCTCTCTCTCTCTCTCTCTCTCTAAAATTATAGGCAAACTATTTTATCCCAGTGAAGGAAAATTATGTTTCTTTAGTCTCACTCGAATGTTCAACACATGGAAGAGCTTAATTAACGTGGAAGTAGTTGATTATAAAACTAAATTAGTTTAGCAATAGATTAGGCAAATATTTTATTTAAATCTTCCTTGAACCCATTCCGTAACAGAGTCATTAGTTTGGATTCAATAGCTTGTTTCCTGTCTCCCTATGACCTTTCCCTTCCCATAGCTCACGATAAGCCTTGTCCTACTATTTTTCCCTGCAACACCATATGCCAATCACTTAACATCAATTACTGCTAATTGTAACCGATTAACAATCGGTCCCCAATTACTGCTGGGTGAACAGGGGCGACTGCTTGTCCCAACCCTGCATTCGAACCCAGAACAAATCGTTCGGGTTGTGCCATCCAAACACTAACAAGAATGGTTTGCCTCTTAGCAATTGTTCGTTGACCTGTCAAATGCTGTAATACTGTCCAGCACAGACTGCTGCTGTATGCCCCCTGGCGTCATCTGGTACAATAAACAAACAATGAACTGTACCACGTGCTCCGGCGGGAGCACGTGGGCGCGTGAGTGTATCTGGCTGGTCACTGTAGGGCGGCTGGCTCCTCGTTATCACCGTGGCTGCGCCTCCTGTAGGAGAGAGAAAGAAAAACAGGTTATCGATCGTGGTCCTTCGCTCGCCCGAGAGGGTAAATATAAGAGAAGGAATTTTAACAAGAGAGAGAGAGAGAGAGAGAGGTTGGGGGGAACTTTGACATATTCCTGCCATTAAACATGAAAGGAGCAACTCTGAATACACGCATTACATGAATTGGGTGCGCTCGCGCGTGCGTACGTGCATGTAACCTATTTGTCTTTATCTATTTGTGCCTGCAGGATCACGCAGTTTAGCTCTTGGACCCTCAGTTTTCAATCGCTGGTTGTCTAATGTAATGACTCCCGACCTATTTTATCTTTCATATCTACTAGGCTATGTGCAGATTAACCCCAGCATATAACCCACAACAGCTGTCAAACTCCCTGGGCCCAGATTTACGAAGCACTTACGCAAGTACTTGCGAACGTGTACATCTTTCCTCAATCTTTGACGGCTTTGGTTACATTTATTAAACAGTTTACAAGCATGAAAACTTGTCACTCCACTGTTGTTATTGTTATAAACAGCCTCCTGGTGCTCCGGAGCTCATTAGCTGTTGAATAATTGTAAACAAAGCCGCCAAAGATTGAGGAAAGATGTACAGGTTCCTAAGTGCTTGCGTAACTGCTTCATGAATCTGGCCCCAGGTCTCTATTTACTACTAAATAAATCAAAGCATTAGGTGAAAGGAAACCATGCCCAAACGCCCCTGTCCTGCCGTGAGAGATCGAACCCTCGATCTTCAGTTGTGAGTCGAGGTTAGCCCACTGATATGTTGTCGTGTGTGTGGGGGAGGGGGAAGGGGGGGAGGGGGAAGGGGGGAAGGGGAAATAGGGCGGTTATGTATATACACTAAGTTCACTACGGGCTCACCATAGCCCGTGCTACTTGGGACTTTTTGTTCCAAGTAGCGAATCTTAAACAACAACCAATCATTTAAAAATCTCCATCCATCTATCACTCTATTTATAAAATAGCATTTACGCATTTAAGCTGGTGTAATGGGTACTGTACAAGCTGGTATAATGGGTACTGTACAAGCTGGTGTAATGGGTACTGTACAAGCTGGTGTAATGGGTACTGTACAAGCTGGTATAATGGGTACTGTACAAGCTGGTGTAATGGGTACTGTACAAGCTGGTATAATGGGTACTGTACAAGCTGGTATAATGGGTACTGTACAAGCTGGTGTAATGGGTACTGTACAAGCTGGTATAATGGGTACTGTACAAGCTGGTATAATGGGTACTGTACAAGCTGGTGTAATGGGTACTGTACAAGCTGGTGTAATGGGTACTGTACAAGCTGGTGTAATGGGTACTGTACAAGCTGGTATAATGGGTACTGTACAAGCTGGTGTAATGGGTACTGTACAAGCTGGTATAATGGGTACTGTACAAGCTGGTATAATGGGTACTGTACACGCTGGTGTAATGGGTACTGTACAAGCTGGTGTAATGGGTACTGTACAAGCTGGTGTAATGGGTACTGTACAAGCTGGTATAATGGGTACTGTACAAGCTGGTATAATGGGTACTGTACAAGCTGGTGTAATGGGTACTATACAAGCTGGTGTAATGGGTACTATACAAGCTGGTGTAATGGGTACTATACAAGCTGGTGTAATGGGTACTGTACACGCTGGTGTAATGGGTACTGTACAAGCTGGTGTAATGGGTACTGTACAAGCTGGTGTAATGGGTACTGTACAAGCTGGTGTAATGAACAAAGGGCTGTAATGAGCGGTTCCGCTGTAGTTGGTAGTGGTAAGAGCAGCTGTCGAGACAGTGGTAGCGGGGGGGGGGGAGTAGTGGTAGTTGCCTTCGTGGTTAGAGATGACCGTTGGTGGTAGGTGCAGTGCATTTTGCTGGTGGTGATAGTTATGTGGTAGTTGCAACGATGGCTGCAGTTGTGGTTGTTGCCATGGTAGTGGTAATGGTTGCAGCGGCGGTGATTACGGTGGTAGCCGTTGGTGGTGCTGAATTAGGGGTTAGTCGAAGGGTAGTGGTGGTAAGTGGTGGTAGGGGGGCTGGTTGTGTCAACTGTGCGAATACACTGACGGTCAAAGGTGTTAACAAAGGCAGAGCGCCAATCTGATCACTCTAAGGAGCCCGCGTGCGGCGGCGGCGGCTGCGGCACGCGGGCTCTAACGCTTCCGTCACTCCACTTTTAGCTTGGAGGCCCCGCACGCTGTGGGAAGACCTTGCGTCACCCCCGAGCCCCGCGGGGCCTGAGTACGGGTCGTAACGCTGCTGTTACAGTGCCAGAGAGTTACACGGTGTCAGGTAACAGGGGGACCTTCCTCACAGTGTCAGGTAACAGGGGGACCTTCCTCACAGTGTCAGGTAACACGGAGACCTTCCTCACAGTGTCAGGTAACACGGAGACCTTCCTCACAGTGTCAGGTAACATGGGGACCTTCCTCAGTGTGTCAGGTAACACGGGGACCTTCCTCAGTGTGTCAGATAACATGGGGACCTTCCTCACAGTTTCAGGCCAATGAAGGCCTGGGGGATACCTTGAGGTGCTTCCGGGGCTTAGCGTCCCCGCGGCCCGGTCGTCGACCAGGCCTAAAGGAAGGGAGAGCAGACTACCTACCAGAAGCAACAATCTGGTGGGCTGTCAACAACAAGTGCGGACCCTCGACACTTGTAGTACACTTCACACGGTCATGCCTTATACAAGGCACATGTAAACTTAAAGGTCAACCGCCAACACCTGTAAGGTCACAGGTCACACACGCCCCATAATAAAAATGTTAGATATAAAGCGTATGTTCTGTATCATCCCTCGGCCCCCCCCCCTGCCTCACACAGGGGCCTGGCGGCTGAGTGGACAGCGCTTGGGACTTGTAATCCTAGGGTCCGGTGATCGATCCCCGGGGATGGCGGAAACAAATAGGTAGAGTTTCTTTCACCCTGATGCTCCTGTTCACCTTGCAGTAAATAGGTACTTGAGGGTTAGACAGCTGTTACGGGCTGCTTCCTGGTGGTGTGTGAGGGGGGGGGGTGATCAGTAGACTGACAGTTGAGAAGCGGGCCGAAAGAGCCAGAGCTCATCCCCCGCAAGCTCAACTACGTGAATACAACTAGGTGAATACAAGACCTGTGCCTCTGTAACCCTTTCCACTACCGCCCACAAGATGGGTATGGGGTGCATAATAAACGAGACCTAACTGCTGTAATATAGGAACAAACATCCAGGACCAGGATTTATCAAGAGCTTAATTTGTCCACATACGAAACACGTACATCTTTCCTGTCCTGACGCCACTGATTACATTTATTAATAAACAGTTGATGAGCTTAGAGGCGCTACGAGGTCGTTTATAACAATAATAGCCTTGCTGTGTGAAGTTTGAAGCTCGTAATGTCTTTAATAAATGTGAAGATGGACGCCATGACTGAGGGGAAGATGCACAGGTGTCGTAAGTGATTGAGTAAATACTTGATGATATCTGGCCCTGGTCTTTACGTGATATC